AAACTAATAAACCCTCATCTTTATTCATTTAAGGTTAAGGATTTTGCTGCTTGTAACAATGTCAAAATTTGTTCAAATTTTAGCTCTAATCTTTTTAATATAAAGATGATTTATGACAGTAGATGAGGTAATCAGTCCCCAACATTGTAGAACTATACACAAGTGGAAGATAAGGTAATCAGTTCCTCAACCTAAAAGCCGCTGTTAACTACCTTAGTCATAATCGTTAGTTTCCTTATCTTCTGACTTCGTATCTCATCTCTATATTGACTCCGAAAAAAAACACCAGATAACGAAATTCTTTAAATAAAGATACCCAGGGACCTGGGAGTAGTAATGTCTGAGGAACTCACTTTCAAGAATCACAACAGTGCCACGATCACAAGTGCAAAGAAAATGATAGGATGGATAATGAAAACGTTCAAAACGAGAGATGCCAAGCCAATAATGATCCTTTTCAAATAACTTGTTCTCTCTAGGCTGAAATACTGCTGTACATTAACATCTCCATTCAAAGCAGGTGAAATCGCAGATCTAGAGAGTGTACAGAGATCCTTTACTGCACGTATAAGTTCTGTCAAACGCCTTAACTACTGGGAACGTTTGGAAGCACTTGACTTGTACTTGTTGGAACGCAGGAGGGAGACATGTATCATAATCTACACTTGGAAAATCCTGGAAGGAATGGTCCCGAATCTACACACAGAAATTACTCCCTACGAAAGTAAAAGACTGGGCAGGCGATGCATAATACCCCCAATTAAAAGTAGGGGCTCCATTGGTACACTAAGAGAAAACACCATAAGTGTCCGGGGCCCAAGACTATTCAACAGCTTCCCATCAAGCATTAGGGGAATTACCAATAAACCCCTGGCTGCCTTCAAGAGAGAGCTGGACAGATACCTCCCCTCAAGGAAGGTTCCTTGATGTTGGTGAGGGGCTCTTGATTTAGGGAATTGGATCTGTGCTCCAGTTCCCCGAATTAAGCCTGAATGCCTTCCACATCCCCCCCCCCAGGCGCTGTATAATCCTCCGGGTTTAGCGCTTCCCCCTTAATTATAATAATAATGGACAGATACCTAAAGTCAGTGCCGGATCAGCCGGGCTGTGGCTCGTACGTTGGACTGCGTGTGGCCAGCAGTAACAGCCTGGTTGACTAGGCCCTGATCCACCGGGAGGCCTGGTCATGGACCGGGCCGCGGGGGCGTTGATCCCCGGATTAACCTCCAGGTAATCAAGGTAACCAGGTGTTGCACGTGTGTCTAATTCTTCTTGTCAGTATTGTATATCATTTTCGTAATGATGCATATAATCTGTTCACCACCAGTCAAGAATATTGTAATCCCTAAAGGGATTAAAGTCAACTACCCATAAATATACACTGAAACATATACACCTCTCGATTATATGGTTGGTTAATAGGGCTTAAAGATTATGAACTACACAAGGGTCACTGTGCTACATATAACTCATTCATCACTAGTGAAGAATACTTTATTCCCTAAAAATAGGGATATCCTGTGACTGAGATATACACACCTCGAGGTGCATTTACCCTTAATATATATATATCAGTTTATGTAACCTTGCTCCCCTACGGAGTTTGCGGTTCCCCATAAATAATAATAATAATATATCAATATTAATAATTGAATTATTATTAGTAGTAGTAGTAGTAATAGTAGTAGTAGTAGTAATAGTAGTAGTAGTAGTAGTATTTTTATTATTAAAGTTTCCCCTTGTACCCTCGGAACCCATCTACACAGAAAACGGAACTATTAGGGGTAGCTCAGCCAGGAGGGTGATACAGTAACTGGGGAATTGGAATACACATATAACACGCACATAGAAGAAAGAAGCTTATGCCGACGTTTCGGTCCGACTTGAACCATTGACTAGTCACACTAGGGAGAAAGGAAGCACCAGTTTCTTGGATCATGCACTCCTCATATGCCAGAATCCTCACTACCTGTAATCACAAGCCAACCTGTAATCCTTAAAACAAACTCGATAAAAGTGTTCATTGCAATTCCTAAATTTATTATTACAACCACTTAGAAACCGTATATACAAGCAATCAAATAATTATTGCCTTATTAGTCTTAAGATAGGTTTAAGTTTGCCCAAAATACTCTGCATAGAAACCCCTCAAGGGAGGCTTATTGACGCTGGTGAGGGACTTTTGATATAGGGAATTGGATCTGTGCTCCAGGTTCCTGAATTGAGCCTGAATGCCTTCCATTCCCCCTACAGGTTTAGTTCTCAACCATAATAGTAATAATAATCTGCATATTAAGGGGCTTTCTGGATGCACACTTTAAATGTCACCCACCTCTGTACAAACATTGTATCATGCTGAAATAAAGAATCTTAATATTAATCTTAATTAAATCACTGGTTGCCTGGTCTGGAAGAGAGCGAAGAATTACAGATTGACTGAAGCTACAGAAAGGGTTTTCTTGTATAGTTAACAGTTATATAACTATTATATTAAGATAATTTTCTTTATTTGATGTTCATATAATTTACTCAGTTTATTTTATTCCTCCTGTATTTCTTTTTTGCTGTAACTTATTTTCATGCATTCAGTTTACTCAGTTTCTTTGCATTTTTAGTATTATAACAAGGACCAAATGGAAATAAGTCACTTTGACTATTTTGGATTATCCTAGGTAATTTACACGTGTGTTAGTGTGTAAATCTATTGTAACCACCCAGAACTTGTGTAAATTGTACCGAAATATGTAAATTCTCCGGTATTAAGGCCTTGTCGAATTGCTGCATTCCATTATCATAATAGTTAATTCTTGACACTGGATTTATACATATATCTGAAAACATGGAAGCTTTAAAGCAAGCTTAGAAATATTTTTTTCTGAATAATTTAAATTGATATGATTTACATAATTTCTCTTATAAGTAAGTAAAAATTTTGTATATTGATGATCATCTACTACTGTGCCTCATGAGGGTGTCAGGGTTCATTTGCTACGTTTTTTGAGTGTGGTGAGCTAAAGCTTTTGATCCTCTTGAAATCCGAGTGCTAGAATTGTTGGGAGGGTTGAATTATAGTCCCTAGGTCTCTTTTGTTTTTTGGATAGGTAGGTATAATGTTTGTCAGGAAACAGGACAAGTGTTTCCTGACGCAGGTTTTAGTCAGACGATGAACCACAGCTGGAGGTTTCGGTCACCTGACCGCGGACTTCCACTGGCTTATCGGTCCACCTCTTTAAAATTCATGGTTATCATTATGATTATATTATTATTATTATTATAATCAAGGGGGAAGCGCTAAACCCGGAGGATTATACAGCGCCTAGGGGGGGGGGATGTGGAAGGCATTCAGGCTTAATTCGGGGAACTGGAGCACAGATCCAATTCCCTAAATCAAGAGCCCCTCACCAACATCAAGGAACCTTCCTTGAGGAGCATTATGATTATAACCATTAGTTAGTTAGGGTTTTCAGATTGTTGTTGTAGGTTCGCCGGTCTTGTCCCGGCCTGGGTCTTTTCCAGATGGTGACATGGTGTTTTTTAGAGATACAGCAACAAGTTACGCCTACAATACCACGGGTGGGATTTGAACCCGCGGTTCAAATCGTGTCGTTACGATTTCGTGAGACAAGTTAGGCCTCTCTGCTTATGTCGACGTACAGTGAGCTGGGTTATGGGATAAGAGGGATACTTCTCGCAGATCGAGCAGTGACCGAAATACATATAGTGTTTTATATGGTAGATTCGTAAGCCAGTGGATGTTATGTTAATCAAGGGGAAGCGCTAAACCCGGAGGATTATACAGCGCCTGGGGGGGGGATGTGGAAGGCATTCAGGCTTAATTCGGGGAACTGGAGCACAGATCCAATTCCCTAAATCAAGAGCCCCTCACCAACATCAAGGAACCTTCCTTGAGGGGTAAGCCAGTGGAAGGCTTCGAACAAATTACCAAAGTACCACGTATTAAGTCATCATATAAAACAAGTCATGGTGTCTGAATTTATTGAATTATGGTAGATCAAATCCACTATTATTACTACTGCTCATAAGAATAATAATAACAAAGCGCTAAACCCAAAAGTGTTGTGTCCATAAAGTAGGGTTGTCATAAAGAACATTGTAGAACAGTTGTATATTTCGCAATCAAAGCTTAAATAAAAGCTTGCTAGCTTACACCTGTGTCAAGAGAAAGCTCCCCCCCCCCTTTTTTTTTCAAGAAAAAATAAAATGCCACCGCCACCTTTTCCTGGGCTCTGATTAACTAAAGTTTTAAACCGGATACTTAGTGTATATGTGACGAAGTTCTTAGTAATGTCACGTCGACTTTACTTCAAGTCACTTAATCATTCTCTGGGAGATATTTTACCAGCCATTTCGTACTAAGTAGTAAGCAAAAGATATATATTTTTTCTAGACAGGTATATATATTACTGGCTACTTTATAAAACCTGTTTAATTAATGAATAGTTATAGTTTCTTGGTTTTGAGTAGTACAATTACGATTACATACCGGATCTCTTAAGTTGATTTTTATTTAATCATAATGTCTGGCAGTGATTAGATATTACTTTATTCGATTTTAGAATATATATAATACGTTTACTAATTTAATCTGTGTCATGGTAAAAATTATGACATTTTTCACACTTCTCCATCCTGTTTTACATACCACAACTCGTATAAATTTTTCACTCATGAAATATAACCATAGCAATTCCTTAGCAACTACAAAATTAAAAATAGCATCTGAGATTACGTAATTATATCTATATTATAGGCGTAAAAGTTTCATATGTAATATAGAAAATTCATAGTGTTTATTATTATGTTTGGATGAGGTGGATGAGTGTCAACATGGCAGACGAGGCCAGGAGGAGGGAGCTTCGTAGAAAAAGGATTCTAGAGAACGCTGAGGAGAGGAAAAGAAAGATCTTTGGTGTCAGCATCAATGCTAAGGACACTGCAGGTAAGCATGAGGTTTAAAATAAGTGAATCATCTCTTGCACCAGAAGTTACGTAATGAATTAAGTCATCCTGATACGGGGGTTCTTTTCTTATCACTAAGGTTATTATGTCGTATGACCCGAATGGGTTTAGTGCATTTTTTCAGTTTAATAATAAATTACGTTACATGTAAGCGAGGTGGGCACCAACTATGCATAAGACGGGGAGGCTACAAAGGAAATATATCATTGAGTAAGTTTTTAATTAGGTTCCAAGACAAGTTCACATTTTTACATCTTACTTCATTAGTAATCTGTTTGTAAATTAACCAAAGATTATCCAGTAAATTCACACACTGTGGCTTATTTCTCTTGGCCTTGTTGCATTATCTTAAGATTTTATTCAGATTTTTAACCTCGGAGGGTTAGCCACCCAGGATAACCCAAGAAAATTAGTGCGTCATTGAGGACTGTCTGTCTCATTTCCATTGTGGTCCTTCAGTCTTGTCCCCCAGGATGCAACCCACACCAGTCGACTAACATCCAGGAACCTACTTGCTTGCTAGGTGAATAGGGACAATAGGTGTAAGGCAACACCCAGTGTTTCCACTCTTGTAATAAAGTTGGTAGAATTACCGACAATATGTAAAGTAAAAGGACACAAGTGCAACTAATGTGACATTTATTGTGGCAACGTTTCGCTCTCCAGGAGCTTTATCAAACGTTGCCACAATAAATGTCACATTAGTTGCACTTGTGTCCTTTTACTTTACGTTTCCACTCTTGCCGGGGATCAAACCACAGACACTATGTAAGGCGAGTGTGTTGCCTATCAGGCATTATTTTTCTCTATGTCATGCCTTTTGTAAAGATGTGATTAATAAAATATATAAAAAAAATCAAACTAAAAGTATCTGGATATTAAAATTAATTGAAGATTCTCTTGAATGAAGAGAAAGGCAAATGATGTTATTTTTTTTTTTTAGTACTAAAAAATATTATTATTCTTGCTCTTTTAGTTTCACTTCAGAAGCAGGTACTGTGTAGAGGTCTGTAGGGAAAGAAACTGCTAGGAATTTTGTATGTAATCTCTCAGCAAGTGGGGTGTCTTAATGCTTGTAAAAGGCTTTTTATCCAAGGAAGTGGAGTTACCCTCCTTTCCTCAGATTCAACTAGGTTGATTCCCTTTCCTCAGGTGCTGTATGATCCCTGTGGGTTTAGCTGTTTTCCAGAAACATATTGATGTGTACTGTACAAGTTTTAAAACACATGATATGTGTAGCAGACATTCACAAATATTTGCTGTGTCAAAACCTATAGTAGTGATGCCCTATGTAACATTCTCTTATATCACATTTTTTGTTAAATTTATACAAATATATTAATTTGTTGAAATATATTATTTTATCTATTTTTATAATGTACATTACTGTATAATATTTTTTAGCAAACTTGTAATGAATACATACAATACAAATTCATGTTAAAGTTTTAAGTCCTTTCAGTTAAATTTAATGTCAAATATAATACTGTAATTTAGGCCCTATGTAAATTTGGTATTATTGAAATAATTTCTACTTATGATTAAAAATAGTATTTAAAATAATTTGTGTTTTATGAAAATTTATATTTTTAATTATGTACCTGTATCTTTATATGATTGTTTCATTGCAGAACCAGTTGAAAATGCAATACCAACAATAAACAATGTCTTAGCATCTGATCCTCAGAAAAAAGATGAACCAGACTTTACAAGTAAAACTTTTAGTAATTCTACAATCAGTAGTGATTTAGGCAGTACATCATCAAGTAACAGCAGAAACAGAAGAGAATGCACAAATATAAATCAGTCAAGATTTGCCAATTTTACTAGAATTCAGAATGGTACAGTACCTGATTTATCTGAACAGCCAAACCACTTCAGTAGGTTAATGACAACTAATGGTGGCATTAGTTCTAATTCTGTACAGAATGGGAGAATCCAAGAAGACGTCCAACCTGTTGACTCAGTTGAGAGACAGAATTCCTCCATGGTACTTATTGTACTTGCCTTATCAGTGTGCTTTCTCTTGTCCAGCAATTTTGGTTACATTGTGTCAAATAGCATATCAATCCCATTTATGCTGTGGGAGGCTTCGCACCTATGGTGCCAAAGGAATGCCATTCAAGCCAGAGCTAGAAGTGGAGCTGGTCTCTTTGGAATTGCTCTTATGTTGTGTGGTGTCCAGCAAACTACAGTTACTATATATGCACATTTAATTACCATTGTTAAGTGTTTCTTAGAAGATTTTGCTTTGTATATTTTAACTGTTGTTTTCTGGTGCACTGTGATTGGGCTACCTGGTGTACTACAATCAGAGCCTTTGGAATCCCCCATCCCAACCCTGATGAATAATGATGTTACTGATGATGCAGACATATATTCTATGGAAGAATTTTAGCACTACAAGGTCATTGACCATCCTCTGTGCCAATGTCAGTACATATTCCTGCTTTCTATTTTTTATTTAATATTTACATACTATTATCATACTGCTAAATATCAACAGACCTTTAAAGTTCCATAAATTATTGTTCTAAGGTATAGGTCAAATGCTAAGTATTGCAGTTTGACTTATAACATTATTAAGAACTGTAAAAAAACTTCATCAAACTGCAAAGTTAGCTTTAACTCAGGAAACTTCTTACAGTATATTAAAAATATTTAAGTCCTAAATTTTATCGCTTTCATAAAACAAATACGTATCTGAATTAATAAAGGGATTTCATTAAAATGCTCGCCTCTCATTCTGCTCTATTTGACTGATATTATCTATATATTTATGCTGTCCCAGAACAATGCTTAGTGTATCTAAGTACACAGCAACTTAATAACTCTTGCATGAATTTTAAATTTTCTTAAAAACTTAACTAAAGGAACAATAATTTACAGAATCCTTACACATTCAAGGTCTCAGTGGCTCCCTGATTTGTACTTATGATTGGAAATCTTGATTGAAAGTGGATGGGTGTTATGACATTGAAAGATTCTGTAAATCACTATATAAACCTTGGTAATTGACACTGACAAATTGATTTAAAATGACATGAGCAAACATTAAGACATATTTATTAGAAAATATTTCGGTCCCAGGACTAAAACATTTTCTAACATGTCCTAGTGTTTGCTCAGGTTTTTTTTAATCAATTAAATCACTATATATATAAATAGATCCTTTCAGTTTTTCAAAACTCAAAATAATATATAATTTTCATTACTGTGATAACTGTTCCTGTGTGTTAAACACAGGGTTCACTGGTAAACTTAAAAGCTGGACAAATTCCTGCTAAGACATTTGGGCCATATAACTTTTTCAGCTTAACTAAGCTTGGGCAACATAAAGTTTTGACTTGTTGGAATTGCCATGTCACTTTCAAAGTTATACTCAAATATTTGCACCTACGTTCAGTTCTTAATAAAACTGAATATTAAAATACTATATGAAGCTAAAACAGCCTAAGGTTAAAAATAATAATTTCATGCAGTACTTTATTTAGTACTGATCTGACTTTAGCTTAGTTATGGACAAGCTGCATTAACATCATTTATGCTTAGGCCTTAATATTGAGTGTCAATCTCATGATTGTGGCTCATTTCTGAATGTTAGCACGAAGCTTTGCAAATTTACCTAGAACTGAGAGAGTCTATAATACATCAGTTACCTAATACACAATGTTTTCATTTTTTATACTTCTTATTCACAAAGGATTTAAAATAAAAGACTGCAAATCTAGATTACTAGAGGTTTTATATTTCACATGGCTTCTTACAAAAGATACTCATTATTTTTTCATGTATGTACTTCAGTAAATTTTTTAGTATATATTAACTGTTCTTTACTGACATGCAAACTCAGGCAGCTGGAAACTTGTATTCCACAAGATGACCTGATGCTATAAGAGGTTTCTTGATCCACTCTGCTCAGGAAGGTCTCATCCAGCAGTGGGTTAATAAAGGATGAAATGTAATTACATATGTAAATAACATTGTACAGTAAACCCTTGCTTGTTTTGTTTATTTACCATTTGAGGTTTAAATTTTTGCTATAAAAGCACAGCATATAGGAATATTTAGGAAAAATGTGGAACCTCTTACAACAGTTTTGCTATTTGCCCAAATGTTGTGCATATAAACTGCAATAAAAATACATGAAAATTATTTTTTCAATAGCCTAATGTAAGCACCATGTCTACTACATTACTACCAACAGCTTTTCCTTTACAATATCCTTTCTACCAATATCTTCCTCTCAGCAATTCCACCTCTTTTTCTCTAATATTCTTGCACTGTCCTGCACAATAGAGATCTCACCAGTTTCATCTCAGATGTCTTCACTAATTCCCTGACATACGTACTTTGCCTGCCCCTGACAGTATAAGCCTCATCTGCAGACTGACTTTGATTTCTTAATCAACAATTATTCCCTCAAGGGAAGTTTCTTTATGCTGATGAGGGGCTCTTGAACTAAGTAATTAGATATGTGCTCCAATTCTTTGAGTCAAGCCTGAATTTCAGCCTTCCAGTTACCTGGGTGTTATATGACCTGTGTGTTTAGCAACTCTCCAATGATTTTTTTTTTTTTTTTTTTTTTTTTTTTCCCCAACAAGTCGGCCGTCTCCCACCGAGGCAGGGTGACCCAAAAAAGAAAGAAAATCCCCAAAAAGAAAATACTTTCATCATCATTCAACACTTTCACCACACTCGCACATTATCACTGTTTTTGCAGAGGTGCTCAGAATACAACAGTCTAGAAGCATACACATATAAAAATACACAACATATCCCTCCAAACTGCCAATATCCCAAACCCCTCCTTTAAAGTGCAGGCATTGTACTTCCCATTTCCAGGACTCAAGTCCGACTATATGAAAATAACCGGTTTCCCTGAATCTATCTATTATCACACTGGCCGATTCCCACCAAGGCAGGGTGGCCCGAAAAAGAAAAACTTTCACCATCATTCACTCCATCACTGTCTTGCCAGAAGGGTGCTTTACACTACAGTTTTTAAACTGCAACATTAACACCCCTCCTTCAGAGTGCAGGCACTGTACTTCCCATCTCCAGGACTCAAGTCCGGCCTGCCGGTTTCCCTGAATCCCTTCATAAATGTTACTTTGCTCACACTCCAACAGCACGTCAAGTATTAAAAACCATTTGTCTCCATTCACTCCTATCAAACACGCTCACGCATGCCTGCTGGAAGTCCAAGCCCCTCGCACACAAAACCTCCTTTACCCCCTCCCTCCAACCCTTCCTAGGCCGACCCCTACCCCGCCTTCCTTCCACTACAGACTGATACACTCTTGAAGTCATTCTGTTTCGCTCCATTCTCTCTACAGTCCGAAACCACCCAAAACCCCTTCCTCAGCCCTTGGACAACATTTTTGGTAACCCCGCACTCCTCCTAATTCCAAACAGAATTCTTGCATTATATTACACCACACATCCCTCAGAACGACATCTCACTGCCTCCAGCCTTTCCTCGTTTGCAACATTCATCACCCACGCTTCAACCATAAAAGAGCTTTTTGGTAAAACTATACTCTCTACATTCCCTCTTTGCCTCCAGGAAAAAGTTCTTTGTCTCCACAGACTCCTAAGTGCACCACTCACTCTTTTCCCTCATAAATTCTAGATTCACCTATCTTCATGACCCATCCGTGAACGCCCACTCCCAAATATCTGAATAGTTACCTCCTCCATTTCTCCCTAAATTGTATTAAATTTTATACCAATCTTTTGTTATCCTCATAACCTTATCTTTCTGTATTCACCTTAATTTTTTTCTTTTGCACACCTCCCAAATTTTCACCCACCAATCTTGCAACTTTCTTCAGAATCCCCCAAAAGCACAGGTATCAGCAAAGAGCAGCGTGACAACTCCCATTTTTGTTGGATTCTTTATTTTTTAACCCCCTGCCTCTTGCCAAGACCCTCGCTTTTTTACTTCTCTTACAACCCCATTATAAATATTTTAAAAACAACCACGGTGACATCACACATCCTTGTCAAAGGCCTACTTTTACTGGGAAAAATTTCCCTCTTTCTACATACCAACTTGAGCCTCCTATCTCGTAAAAACTCTTCATGCTTTTAGTAAAACCCACCTCCCACACCTACACTTGCAAAATATGCCCCTTGCCCCCCTATCCCCTGTCATACGCCTTTTCCAAATCCTAAAAGCCCAAAGCCCCTTTTGCCTTATTAAATACTGTTAAATTATATGTTTCACTGTAAACACCTGGTCCCCAAAACCCCTACCTTTCCCAAAACCTCCCCTTTTTCATTGCTATCCTATTTTCCCTCTTACCCCTTTAAATTCTTTCAATTTTAAATCTACATACACTTTCCAGGTACACTCAACAGACTTATCCCCCCATTAAATTTTTTCACTCTCTTTTGTCCCTTTGCCTTTATAAAAAAGGAAAATTGCATGCTTTGCCAATCCCTAGGTACCTTTCCCCTTCCATACATTTTATTAAAAAAATTGCACCCAAAACCCCCAAAAAATATATCCCCCCCTGCTTTTAACTTTTATCTTTATCCATCAATCCCGGCGCCTTCCCCTTTATTTTTCCCACTGCCTCACGAACTTTCCCCCCCCTCGCAAAATGGGGTCTTCCTCATCCACAAAATGTTTCCTCCTTTCCTTACCGAAAAACGCTTCCCTATTTCTCAACATTTAAAAATTTCCCCAAAAATTCCCCCCATCTTCCCAAAACCTCTAACTCTCCATTTAAAAAAAAATCTCCTCTCCTATTTTTAACTGCAAATCCATTTTGTTCTCTAGGCTTTTTTTAACTTTTTAATTCATTCCCAAAAATTTTTCTTATTTTCAACAAAAAATTTTTTGATAAAATCTCCCCACTCTTCATTTGCTCCTTTTTAAAAGCTTCACCATTCTTAAAATTCTCTTTTTTCCCCTATACTTTCCCCTTGCACACTTTACTTTTTTAAAAACTTCTCATATGCTAATTTTTCCCTTATACTCTCTTTACATCTCATTCCACCAATCGCTCCTCTTCCCTCCCGCACCCCCTTTCCCCCGTAACCAAACTTTTTGCTGAACACTCTAAAATACATTTTTAAACCCACCCCTACCTCTTCGCCCCCCCCTTGCCATGCTCTATTGCCCCTCTTCCCCCAATAGCTGTTTATTTTACCCAACGCCCCCTCTTTTTGTTTATAAAATTCACTCTCTCTTCCCTGATGCTTTTTTCTCTTGTATCCTTTTACCTTTTACTCTCAGTGTAGCTCAATAGAAAAGGATCTGATATATCTGTGGCCCCTTATAAACATGTACACCCTAAAAGTCTACTCAACAGTCTTTTATCTACCAATACATAATCCAACAAATTTACTGTCATTTCGCCCTACATCATATCGTGTATACTTATTTATCCTCTTTTTCTTAAAAATGTATTACCTATAACTAAACCCTTTCTATACAAAGTTCAATCAAAGGGCTCCCATTATCATTTACCCCCTGGCACCCCAAACTTACCTACCACCCCTCTCTAAAAGTTTCTCCTACTTTAGCATTCAAGTTCCCCTCCCACAATTACTCTCTCACTTGGTTCAAAGGTTCTATAACATTCACTTAACATCTCCCAAAATCTCTCTCTCTCCTCTGCATTCCTCTCTTCCCCAGGTGCATACACGCTTATTATGACCCACTTCTCGCATCAACCTTTACTTTAATCCACATAATTCTTGAATTTACACATTCATATTTCTTTTCCCTTCCATACTGATCATTTAACATTACTGCTACCCCTTCCTTTGCTCTAACTCTCTCAGTTTACTCCAGATTTAATCCCATTTATTTCCCCCCCCTGAAACTCCCCTACCCCCTTCAGCTTTGTTTCGCTTAGGGCCAGGACATCCAATTCTTTCATTCATAACATCAGCAATCATCTGTTTCTTGTCATCCGCACTACATCCACGCACATTTAAGCAACCCAGTTTTATAAAGTTTTTCTTCTTCTCTTTTTTAGTAATTGTATACAGGAGAAGGGGTTACTAGCCCATTGCTCCCGGCATTTTAGTCGCCTCATACGACACGCATGGCTTACGGAGGAAAGATTCTTTTCCACTTCCCCCTGGACAATAGAAGAAATAAAAAAGAACAAGAGCTATTTAGAAAAAGGAAGAAAAAACCTAGATGTATGTATATATATATATGCATGTGCGTGTCTGTGAAGTGTGACCAAAGTGTAAGTAGGAGTAGCAAGATATCCCTGCTCACACTCCAACAGATCGTCAGGTTCCAAGCACCATTCGTCTCCATTCACTCCTATCTAACACGCTCACGCACGCTTGTGGAAGTCCAAGCCCTTGCCCCCCAAAACCTCCTTTACCCCCTCTCTCCAACCCTTTCGAAAGGGCGGACCCTACCCCGCCCTTCCTTCCCCTATTTGATTTATATGTTTCCATGTCATTCTACTTTGATCCATTCTCTCTAAATGACCAAACCCCCTCAAAACCCTCTTCTGCCCTCTGCTAATACTTTTATTAACTCCACACCTTCTCCTAATTTCCACACTCCGAATTTTCTGCATAATATTTACACCACACATTGCCCTTAAACAGGACATCTCCACTGCCCCCAACCGTCTCCTCGCTGCTGCTTTTACCACCCAAGCTTTCACACCCATATAAGAGTGTTGGTACTACTATACTTTCATACATTCCCTTCTTTGCCTCCATAGATAACGTTTTTTGACTCCACATATACTCAACGCACCACTCACCTTTTTTCCCTCATTCAATTCTATGATTAACCTCATCCTTCATAAATCCATCTGCCGACACTTCAACTCCCAAGTATCTGAAAACATTCACTTCTTCCATACTCCTCCCAATTTGATATCCAATTTTTCTTTATCTAAATCATTTGACACCCTCATCACCTTACTCTTTTCTATGTTCACTTTCAACTTTCTACCTTTACACACATTCCCAAACTCATCCACTAACCTTTGCAATTTTTCTTTAGAATCTCCCATAAGCACAGTATCATCAGCAAAAAGTAACTGTGTCAATTCCCATTTTGAATTTGATTCCCCAAAATTTAATCCCACCCTCTCCCGAACACCCTAGCATTTACTTCCTTTACAACCCCATCTATAAATATATTAAACAACCATGGT